GTCCACGACCCATGACAGCAGCCATGGTAAACATAAACAACAGCCACACTCTCATCATTTCCTGAAAAATTATAAGATATACAAATACAATTTTTATTATAGATACACATTACATAGAAATAAACATTTAGATAGGAATAAACATTTCCATTTAAACTAGAAATCCAAATACAGTTCATATTACAAACACATATTACAAATACATATTACATAAGAACTATTCTAATCAGAATCTTCCTCATATCCTTCAGTGTCTTCTTCGGTATCATAGTCAGAATCGGTGTCATCGTAATCAGTATCGCAATCAGAAACATCATTGACTCTACCAGTTGGCGGAGGAACTTCAGATGCACTTTCTACATCAACAATGACTCTAGGAATGTTTTGAAAGTACATGCTGAAATCGATAAAAAGTGGAGCATCGGATGAAGAGATATTTTGAAGTACATCGACATCGTCTACATTTTCGTGTGAGACATTGTCAACATTTTGAACAAGGTCATCGTTCGATGGTAGATCCCAAATACTTCGACGATTAACATGCTCGACAACACACCGATGGTTATTGTTTGGCTCTCTGATGTAGAACACTTGTTTGGCTTGTGACACATATATGAGTTGATCATCTTTGTATGCTTCGCGTCGTGTGTCGATACTGGTGAAACTATCACTAGAAATAACTCTTGTTCGAGTATCAAACCACTTGCAACGAAATAGTACAGTTGAATAATCATGTGTATACCTCAACTCTATAATCTCTTCTAACTGGCCATAATACTTCTCGCCTTTCTCACCCACCGCTAAAACCCCAGAAATTTTGTGTTGTACGTTGTGTGTCACGACTAAGTACCATAAACCTAACACCATTGACTATGCATGCGGTGTAAAAATAGGCATTCATTTGCGGGCCCATTGCAAGAACCGACAACTCTTCGTGGAATTCTGGAGATTTTTCTATTTTCATTTGATGAACCTAACAATTATAAATTAATATGTATTATGTATTCGTTAGATCAATGAAAAAAATTTGTTTATTAATTTATATTACCTTTTCACGAAACCAATTACGAAATTCTCTCTTTTCATCACTTTGGGGATGCTCAGATTTGAATTTCCTATGTTGATGACCAAAAGATATAGATTTAAAAAGATAAAATAAAAAATTAAAAATGAAAGTTAGAGATAAGATTAATTACTTGATATACTGTCTGACTTCTTCACAGCTATTCAATACAAACCATTCCATGTTATGCATTTCCGTTAAATTAAGAGTTTTGATTTGAGTTGTGCTGGTCGGTCGACATTTAGACTCAAACATCCAAAACTTTGTTTTTTCAATGACAACATCTACATTTCTTTCCGGACGATTCTTTACATCTCGAAGGTACATTGAACAAAATGATAAAGCTTCTTCAGCAACATAACCCTCAGCTATAGAACCTTCTGGCTTCGCCTTGTTTCTGACATAGTTTTTTAGTTTTTTCATATATCTCTCGAATGGAAACATCCATCTCATACAAACCGGGCCTCCAGCAATTGCTTCATCAGGTAAATGCAAAAGTAAATGAACCATAATGTCAAAAAACGCCGGAGGATAAATCAATTCTAACTTGCACAAGATTGCAATAATGTCTACTTTTGCTTTCCTCATATCCTCCACCTTCAATGTTCTGGAACAAAGTTGCTTGAAAAACGTACAAAGGTCTACAATAGGTGTATAAGTATCTTTGTCTAACAACCCTCTTACTCCAATCGGTATCAAACGTTGAATAAGAATGTGGTGGTCATGCGATTTCAACCCAATAATGTTAGTATTGGTATCGTTCACTTTCTTACTAATGTTAGAACCAAACCCATCGGCAGCTTAACCTCTTTTATAAATTGACAAAAGAGTTGTCGACTAGATTTCGTGAAAGAGTATCTTGCCTGGGGTCTATGAAACTTGTCACCATTTTTTTGCAACCATTCATTTCTCTGAATGTTTAGAATTCTCAAGTCCTCTCGTGCATTTGATGTGTCTTTGCTTTTATCGTTCATTAGGAGAGTACCTAACAAACTCTCGTCCACATTTTTCTGGACATGCATGACATCTATGTTGTGTTTCAACTGTAGAGAAGACCAATACTCGAGTTCGAAGAAAATGCTTCGTTTCGACCAGTTCAACTCATAATCTTGCCGCTTTGGCTCCCCGCCTCCATGCTCAGGATGTTTACCCGGTTTACGAGTTAGTAGACGACCTAGTTGCTCTTGTATGTCATCATTATTAAAGTGTCTCGGAGCGGGTCTTGTCTCTTCCATCCCATTAAAGTACAACCTCTTTCTTAACGGATCATTAGCATCTAGGAAACGACAATGACCGATATATACGACTTTGTTTGTTGCACGGTACGAAGGAGTGTCCTCATTGCAAGTAGCACATGCTCTATACCCTTGCCCACTCCAACCCGATAAACTACTACGAGCTGGCCAATCGTTTATTGTCCACAACAACATAGCTCTCATCGTGAAGAATGTGTTTGTCGCCGCATCTTTAATACGTACGCCTGAGTTCCACAAATGTTTAAGCTCTTCCACCAACGGTCTAAGGAAAACATCCATATCCTTACCTGGAGCTTTCGGTCCTGGAATCAACAAAGTCAACATGAATGATGACTCTTTCATACAAAGCCAGGGTGGCAGATTGTATGTGGTGAGTATGACCGGCCATGTGCTATGTGGATTACACATGTTTCCAAATGGATTGAAACCGTCAGCTGAAAGACCTAGGCGTACGTTACGGGGTTCACTCGAGAAGTCGGGGTATTTTTTATCAAAATCTTGCCAATGTTCCCCATCAACAGGATGAATCATCACACCATCTTCTGAACGTCTGGTACTATGCCAAATCATATTTTTGGCAGTGTGCCTCGAACAATATAAACGTCGTAGTCTAGGGGTCACAGGAAAGTACCGTAACACCTTATGAGGTACTTTCTTACCCTTGGTGTTTTTATCGATCCATCGGCTCTCTTTACAAACGGGACAAACTTGCAATGAATCATGTTCTTTCCAAAAGAGACAACAATCGTTTTTACACACATGTATCGACTCATACCCCAGGCCAATAGACTTTAGTTTCTTTTTGGCTAGATAATGTGAAAGGGGAACCTTGTTGCCTTTGGGAAATGCTAATTGCAAGAGCTCAAGGAGTTGATCAAATGAACTATCAGTCCATTTGTTGTTCACCTTGATATGCATTAACTTTGCTAGAAACTCAAGGGAAGAAAAGATGCAACCAGTATACAATTGAGTTTCCATTTCTTCCAACAACTGTGCAAAATCATCATCCACACCGCTACCCCTTGTATTCGAGGTTCCTTCATCGAGGTTGGTATCATTTTCTCTCGACTCCCACATCACATCGTCGATTAAATCGGCCATTTCGTTACTTGGCAAGACGACGGGAGGAATAAAAGATTCACCATGATAGATCCAAATTTTGTACGCCTTACTGAAACCATTTATAAATATATGGCGTTCAACTACAGTCGGGTACTTGAAGTAACGGTTATCACATTTTTCACACGCACATCTGATTTTACCATTACTATCAAGGTGCAACTTCGACTTCTCAATAAAAGCTTTGAGTCCTGCTTGGAACTCGGGATGGTTTCGATATGGATTAGTAGTCCAGCTTTTATCAATAGACATGATGTTGCTGAAACATAATTTTGGGTTTAGAGTTTAGTATACAGAATTAGCATTGTTTTTTTTCAATCCACATTTTTTTACATCTAAAATAATACAAAAATTAAGTAATAAAGAAATGAAAAAAATAAATTAAAAATTTTTATTTATGCATTTTTTTAATTAATTTTAATTAAAATTACTTGTAAGTTAGCTTGGGTAAAAACTAGAAGCTTTCTAGTTTTTGTATATAAGTTTTTAAACAATTTTATAGTTTTTTTTTTGTGTTTTTTTTTCAATTTATAAAAATAATGTATTTTTTTTTCAATTATAGCATCCTACTTATAAGAAAACCACATACTTTTACATACGTATTATGTTGTTGTGTTGTTTTTTTTACCGTCGAGATTAAAATGTATATAAGTTTTTAAAGAATTTTATAATTTTTTTTGTGTTTTTTTTTTTTTTTTTTTTTTTTTTTTTTTTTTTTTTTTTTTTTTCCAATTATAAGTTAACTATATAACTTATTGGTTAATTAATTTGGAGTTAGCTTGGGTAAAAACTAGAACTTTCTAGTTTTTGTATATAAGTTTTTAAACAATTTTATAGTTTTTTTTTTTTTTTTTTTTTTCAATTTATAAAAATAATGTATTTTTTTTTCAATTATAGCATCCTACTTATAAGAAAACCACATACTTTTACATACGTATTATGTTGTTGTGTTGTTTTTTTTACCGTCGAGATTAAAATGTATATAAGTTTTTAAAGAATTTTATAATTTTTTTTGTGTTTTTTTTCCAATTATAAGTTAACTATATAACTTATTGGTTAATTAATTTGGAGTTAGCTTGGGTAAAAACTAGAAGCTTTCTAGTTTTTGTATATAAGTTTTTAAACAATTTTATAGTTTTTTTTTGTGTTTTTTTTTTTCAATTTATAAAAATAATGTATTTTTATTTTTTTTCAATTATAGCATCCTAATTATAAGAAAACCACATAGTTTTACATAATACATAAGAAAGTGAAATTCACATACTTTTACATACATATACCACATATACACCAAATACAAATACACACAAAATAACATCCTATTTAAACCAAATACACATAATTTCACATATATACATAATAACATCCTATTTATACCAAATACAAAAGTTTCACAATCATATATCACATTTACAACAAACATACATACATTCACATACACACAATAACATTCTACTTATAACAAATACATATAATTTCTACTAATATACCACATATACATCAAACACACATACATTGGAATAAATATACCAAATTCACATATATTCAAACAAATACAAAATATACAATCCAATTTTCACATATGACAATTATCACATAATTTCACATATAAATACAACTTGAAGCTATACAACTAATTGCAATTAAATAACCACAAACAAAAAATTGAATAACTTGCTTCTAATCCAAAACAATACCACCAAAAACAAGAATATGAACAATTTATTATCATTCAATCACTACATAAAGTTACAAATCGAAATTCATACAAAATAAAAATGAAATCATCAAAAAAAACTTACCTTTCTTCAAGAAATGGAGGTACCTAGAAATTGATCCCAAAGCTTTAACCACTTGCTTGGAACAATGCTTCTAATCCAAAAAAACACCACCAAAAATAAAGAATATGAGCAATTTATTATCATTCAATCACTACATAAAGCTACAAATCGAAATTCATACAACATAAAAATGAAATCATCAAAATAAAACTTACCTTTCTTCAAGAAATGGAGGTAGAAATTGATCCCAAAGCTTTAACCACACCTAGAGACACTTGCTTGGAACAATGAGGGGAGAAATTTGCTTGAAAGAAGCAGATTGAAGAAGAAATCGCGATAGGTGAAGGAAATTGGAAGCAAACAGAAAGGAATATGAAGAAGGAGGTTATCTGCATGCGTTTTTTTTTTTTTTTTTTTTAAATATGTGATGACCAATAGCGGCGACACCTTTAGCGGCGACGCTAGGGGCAATACCGGCGACAATCAGTAATAGCAGCGACAAACTGGAGGGAAGGGTACCGCGTCATTTTTAGCAGACTATTAGCGGCGACTTTTTTGGAGTTTTTGCGGCGACATCTGTGTCGCCGGTATTAGGTTAGACCGGATAAGGCACCCCACCCGTTGGATTGGATATCTCATCGAACGGTTGAGATGCAATAGAGGGGGAAAGTGCGGATTCGGGTGACAACCCTTTAGCGGCGACACTATTAGCGGCGACAAGGGGCTTTACCCGCGACTCAAGCTAGAGTCGCCGGTAAAGCCCTTTGTCGCCGCTAATAGTGTCGCCGCTAAAGGGTATATTTCTTGTAGTGATTATAATAAGGAACCTAAGAACCAATCGTAAGCGTTGAAAATTATAATGATCAAAGTCAACGGAATGGAAGTATACTTGTATATTGGACGGACATACAGTAGATTATACCAAAAAATCGACATCTTTACAAAAAAAAAAATCCACATTTTTTCGTTTATATTTTTTATGCCATGTTTTTTTTCGAAAAAACCGAATACACCGTTGTTTATGATTTTTCGTCATTTTTCCATAAAGATTCATATTGATACATAAAAAACAATTTTTTTTTCCGATAAAACCCACTTCGTTTTGTTGTTTTTTTTTTCAATATTTAAGTTTATTTTTATCGAAAAAACTAACTATACCAAAAATCTTAATTTTTTGTCCTCTTTTAATTAACATTACCATTGATTGAAAAAAACCCGGATTAGTTCAGACTCACACTGATAATCTGAATTATAATATTACAATTTTAACATTCAAAATATGAATCGGATTTATTATTTCAATTCTTTGATTATTCACAAATTAATTTTATAAAATTTACATAAGAGTCAAAAATGTATTTTCATGTAATTTTATAATATTTTAACGTATTGATTACTGATATATTAGTTTTGTAAAATCAAAAAAATGAATTTATTCAAACTGTGAATCTGAACTGTGTATTATTTAGTTTTCAAAATTCACAATATGAATCTGATTCACTATTATTCATGTCGTGAATCTGAACAAATTCACAATATGAATATAAGTAGATTTGTAATGTAAATCTGAGCAGATTCAAAATTTAAATTTGAACTCAAAATTTATTTTTTTATATTAATATGAATCTATGTTTAATGATAACACAAAAATATGATTTTAATATATTTATTAATATTTTTCGATAAAAAATCGACATTAACTTTTTAAAAAACAAAGAAATGAAGTGGATTTTTTGATTTTTTTTTGTATATTAATATGAGTTTTTATGGAAAGATGATGAAAAATCAGGAACAATAGTTTTATTCATTTTTTTCGATAAAAAACATGACCTAAAAAAATAAACCAAAAAATTGGAAGTGGTTTTGCAGTTAATTGTTCTAAATTATAATGTTTTATATTGGTTGTTTGATTTTTTTGATTAATAATGGTTTTTTATTGAATTTTTAGTATATATATATATATATATATATATATATATATATATATATATATAATATATTATATATATATATATATATATATATATATATATAATTTGTGATAGTTTTTTTATTTGTTTGTTTTGTACATTAAAAAACTAGAATGAGAAATAGGTGTAGGTTAGGAGGTCATAGGCAAGAGGTAGGTGTTAAAAAACGAGAAAAATGAAAAAGACATAATATTGACATTTAATACCACAAAAACTATAAAAGATAAAGGAAATACTTTTTTGTATTGAACGAGTCAACAGAAGAATCATTGATGGATCAAATAGAGATGTATGATGAACTCTTTCATTTAGATAAAATAAATGAATTAAATTGGGTCAGATTTAGATCATAATGACCCATACACGCTACTACACATACAATATACATGCATACATACAAATAGAAAACTAATAAATAAAATATTCTTATATTAATAACGTTATTGCCAATCATATTTTTTGACCCAATAGTAAGGCGGATTAATGGATTGAGGAATGTAAAATCCATCATCTCCTACCATCCAATAACAATCGTTCTTAAAACCATGGACTCTACTAAAACAATATTCATGAGACTCTTTTCCCTGTCTAAAAACCTCAAACATTCGCTGCTTCGATTCCCAGTAGAAATGACAAAAAAAGACTGTCGATTTCCAAACATTTAAGCAAAACTTGATGTCGTATATCTCTCCAGCGTTCCGAGTAACCATCCCAAGATCATCGTCTTTTGACTGGCAACGAAATTCAAGATTGTTTACATTACTCTTAATATGAATGGTGTACCAGCTCATTACGCATGCTTTATATTTGTAAGGCACATCATCGTCCCTTTTTTCCTCTCGAGCATGAACATCGTTGTTGTGATCATTTGCATGTGTTGCATGAAAAAGGATAAACGCAAAGATAAGGAGAAATAAAAACTTTCCCATGAAAAACTGTTTTCATTGAACACAATATACTAATGAAATTTGGGTTGGGCTTATTTTATATAGAAGATATGCCTGCTCATTCATTGTTTTCTTAATAACTCAAATAATATTTATATTTAATACATCTGCAATAAATGTGAAACATAATCCACATTCACATATCACATATAGTTGTCATATTGGATTTGTGTGAGTTAATACTTTAACGACTAACACCTAAGCTTTTAATCATATTTTCCAAATGATATAATAGTAGGTGGTCAACAAAGTTTGTAAAATATTTTATATCGGCCATCAAACTATAAACATGTCATAAGGCGCCATTCAACTTTCAAATTAGTGATGTTTAACACCAAATACCAAATAAAATGATAACTATACCCTTGGGGAACATGATACCGTCATACCTTCCTCCTTTGCAACATACCATCCACTATTCTCATGTGCACCACTCATCATTCATATAAATTAACATTCAACAACAATAAATACCATTTTCCCTTTATTTTTCCCATCTCACACTCGTCTCCATTGCTTCACCTCTCTCTTCCTGTTAACATTCAACAACAATAAATGAGAAAACTGAAATAAAGTTCTTACATATTGATCTTATAATCGATTTAGTCTTTATACATTTTTATTATTCAATTAAGTCCAAAAAATCAGTAATCGTATTCAATTTAACCCTTTTACCCAACCAACAAGTCATTCAACTTTCAAAAAAGTACATTTTTGACCCATATTTCAAAATTTATTACAAATTTGGTCGAAAATTTACACTTTTAGCATAGATTTTAAGTTTTATTACAAATTTGGTCATAAATTTACCCTTTTGGCCCAAATTTTAGAATTTTGTTATAAATTCATCATAACTTTAGTTTTTTTACAACTTTTTTTTTCTCAAAAGTTTGTTTCTAATATGCTTTTTCTTTATAAACTCATATTTATACAAAAAACATATTTTTACATAAAAATCTTATAATTTCGATATAAAAACTATTTTTAAAAAACATATTGTATATGAAATATCTATTTATAAAAATGGTATTTATTAAGTACATAAATATATACAAATCCGTTTTTATAAAAAATATATACAAACAACTATTTTATTATAAATACATTTGTATACAAACAGATATTTATAAAAAAATGTAAACAAACACCTATTTTCGTAGTGTATACACACATACACACACCCAAATAGGAGTGTATTCCAGCTGAATACACTATCGTTTCCATGTTCCAGACGATTTTTTTGTATTTTAAGTGGCTGAGTCCTGAAACAAAACACAAACCCATACATGAAAACCTAGATGTAAATTCATTCCAAAAGAATATTATTTTTGACATTAATAATGACTTAGTTAGTTTCCATAAAAAGGAATTATAATTATGGATATCATTTAATATAAATACAATTATCGAAATCATTTAATATCTATCTTTATTTGATTAAATAATAATTAAATTTTTACTAAATTCTTATTAGTCCATTCTAATAAACAATAGATAAATAAAATATTTTTTGCTACATGTCATTTCCTACTTCAATATAGCACATGACTTTTTTTTTTTTAATTTTTTAAATTCCATTTAAATCCACTTGACAATTTGTGGTTTTTTTTTTGACTTTGTTATTAAATTATAAAATAATCTAATCTAAACATATAATAAAGAAAATAAGGAAACTTAAATATATCCATAAATTCTTAGGCAATTTGTCAATTAATGTATTAAATTCAATTTAAATTAAAATCAACTTTCTTAATTGAACAACATAATTTTCGGTCAATCCCTTTTGAATTTACGATAATTTCCACAAACCTTGCAAAATTTGTTCATTCACGGCTAATATTGATATTTTTATTTTTTTCAAATTCAGTTTTGTAAATTATTTAAACAGGTAATACTTAACAAAATATATTCATTTTTTAAAAAAAAAACTCCTATATTACACGAGTCTCACACCTATATATATATATATATATATATATATATATATATATATATATATATATATATATATATATATATATATATATATATATATATATATATATATATATATATATATCGCTAGGTTCATTTTTATATGCCATATATTGTTTCAATGTATTAGATAATCTTTCTCTCTTAAGTTTGAAAATCAAAAGGAAATTATAATTATTTTTCCTATTAATTAATATATGTATTAAAAATAGTGTAAAAATGGTATAATAGACAACTTTGATGAGAGAAAAAAAAGGAAAACATGGAACTTATATTTGCTATTATATATATATATATATATATATATATATATATATATATATATATATATATATATATATATATATATATATAGAGTTTCGACCATAATAGGGTGAATGGAAAAAATATTTACCATTTTAGTGTTCTTTCAAAACTATTTACCATTTTAGTGTTTTTCTTCTTTTTCTTTATTTTTTAGTTTCCTTTTCAGTTTTTTTTTTTAAATTTAAATATCTTATTTTTCTGTTTTTCTTTTTTATTCCACTTTTTATTGTTTTTCTCATTTTTCTTTACTTTTTAGTTTCTTTTCAGTTTTTTTTTAAATTTAAATATCTTATTTATTTTTCTTTTTTATTCCACCTTTATATATATATATATATATATATATATATATATATATATATAAATGACAACTTTCATTTTAGTTTTTTTTTTATCCATTTTTACTGTTTCTTAATATATGTTTTTTTATTTAATTTTTTCTGTTTTATTTAAATATCCGATTTTCTTATACAACCTTTTTACCATCAAATTTTAGCCTCAACATTAAAAAAATCATCAAAAACCACCACTATAATCAAATTTTAAGGTGTAAAAATTCCAACATTCACATACAATATTTTTAAAGTGAAAAAAAAATCTCAACATTGTTCTTACAAAAAACATTGTAGGTGAATGTCACCACAAAAAAATCCAACATTGTTTATTACAAAAAGAAAAACATCACAATTAGCTTTATATTGAACCGGTAAAAAATCATTACCTGTAAAAAATATATATATTATTTTTTAAATTATCTTGACATAGACGGACATCTATTAAGTGGATGACTCTCCAACCATTCTCGAGCACGTGGATTTAACGGGACATAATTGAAAACGATGTCCGTCTATACCAAGGTAATTTAAAAAAATAATATTTTTATGGTATTTGTTATAGTTATTCTCTTGTTATTATTATTTTTTTTACAAGTAATAATTTTTTACCGGTTCAAGATGAAGCTAATTGTGATGTTTTTCTTTTTGTAATAAACAATGTTGGGGTTTTTTTTTGTAATGTTTTTTTTGTAAGGAACAATGTTGAGATTTTTTTCACTTTAAAAACATTGTATGTGAATGTTGGAATTTTTGCACCTTAAAATTTGATTATAATGGTGGTTTTTTATGATTTTTTAATGTTGAGGCTAAAATTTGATAGTAAAAAGGTTGTATAAGAAAATCAGATATTTAAATAATACAGAAAAAAACAAATAAAGAAAACATATATTTAAAAAAACAGTAAAAAAAGGATAAAAAAACTAAAATGAAAGTTGTCATATATATATATATATATATATATATATATATATATATATATATATATATATATATATATATATATATATATATATAAAATAAAAATGTGGAATAAAAAAGAAAAAAAAAGATATTTAAATTAAAAAAAAAGCTGAAAAGAAACTAAAAAGTAAAGAAAATGAGAAAAACAATAAAAAGGAGGAATAAAAAAGGAAAAAAGAAAAATAAGATATTTAAATTAAAAAAAAACTGAAAAGGAAACTAAAAAATAAAAGAAAAAGGAGAAAATCACTAAAATGGTAAATAGTTTTGAAAGAACACTGAAATGGTAAATATTTTTTCCACCCACCCTATTATGGTCAAAAACTCTATATATATATATATATATATATATATATATATATATATATATATATATATTAAGTTTCCACATTTTGAGTACATGGGGATTAGTTCGTTGTTTATAGAGATTTTGCTATTATATATATACTAAGGATGTGTAAGGTCGTGCTAACACGACCCGCAAAGGTTCTTTTAGAAAATTTTACGAATATGTTGGTATGATGTGTGTTCCTGGTAGTACTCATTTAACTATGAAACAAAAATAAGAAAATTTACATCTTACTTACCCATTATAGGAAATTAACTTTATTTTCTACACAATATGAACAAAACTTACATTCCTTTACCAGACAATTTGCAATTTGAAATCCATATAAATAATAACATACTTACCTATTTGTACCAATCATATGTACATAAAAATTGTGTTCAACTTAACAAAGATGATAACTAAACAGGGTAATTAATCATAAGTGAGACACCCCACAATGTATTTGCTCTTCCTTCGAGATAAGAACTTCCCAATCACTCCCTATAGTTGGGAACAAAGAATTATGTAGCACTCATTCTCCCAACTTCTCAAAATCTCAAGGAGGGCTTGTTTAGTAATTACCGAAAATAGAGATTCCTCTTAATGTTGTTTCTCAGAAGCCAGAAGTCTAGCACTTTAATCCAATTTGGTAAAATGATCAAGAAATCCACTATATTAGGACGAAAGTAGCCTTGAGTATATTCATATTTCTTTGCTTAAATGATTACACGTGACATTTTAACTCATATTTCCTTGTTGTAACATTTCTTCCCTTCAGACAAACCAAAACTCTGTAGAACGTCACACTTACGTTTTATATTTTTTGTTTAAAAAGTGGTGAATGCAAAAGTGACATGATGGTTCCATTTTATTATCCTATAAATTATACAGATTCAATGGTAAACATTATATATAGAAAAATAATCTTAAACTAAAATGTCATGATGAAATAAAAGTTGCTTACTTGTGATGTAGAAGCATGCCTAATACTCCTAAATCTTAAGAAAAAATCAAGTTATTAATTATTACTAATATAGTAATAAATAGACAAAAAAAGTGTTGGTAGGTGAACCAAACCT